AAATGAAAACAAAATATTTTCAAAACCAATGATTGGAAGACACGTACATCGCGGCTCGCGTATTAAAGCTATTATCCAGTTTAGCCGTGAAATTGAAAGACTGAACAGTTTGGATCATATTTTTGAGAAAAAATCCAAACATTTCATTTATTTATCACGATATTTATTTTATTTTAAAATTGAGGGAAAATATGAAAAAACTAGAAAAATGAAACTAGAAAAATGCAACTCTGTTTCATAGTTTTTTAAGTTTTATAGTGTCAAATGCAACTGCTGGCTTTGTTTTTTTTAATTTTTTTACAAAATGTTTATATTGGGGAAAACCCGCGAAACTAGAATAGAATTTTGGGGGGTTTCCACAGTATTAAATCTAAAATAGTAGGACAATACAGCTATTTTCCAAAATTGTAAAATGTGCTGCCCATTAACGTCGAAAATATGCATTTATTTTGCAGTCGAATTTAAAATATTTTCAAATTGTTGTATTTTTTATTCAAAACAGCCGAATTTCAAAAATTTTCAAATTGTGGAATTTTTTATTCAAAACAATACACAGAATAAGGGTACTAAAAGAAAAAAATGTATTTAGGGGGTAGCTTTGTTCTACCTTTTGTAATTATGCCATGATATGTACTAAATAAGATGTATTTTACAAGCTCAATAGTGGAATTCTCTAACTCATTTTTTGAGTTACTGACAAAATAAAATTAAAATGCTTTTAATTTCGGTAATTAACGAAGTTTGTCGGCAAGTTAGCGACGATATCAACATAGACGCTAAAACCAACCGATAGATACCATGTTGTCAACCTTAACATCTTTTTATACCCTCCACCATAGTATGGAGCATGGTAGAAGAGATAGGTAGACGCATCGACACAGCTGCTGGGACAATGAACTGTCAAACCAATTTTGGAATTGAAAATGTTGAATGATAAATTATTTAAATTTGTAAAAATTGTTGAAATACGCGAATTATAATAACCTCCGAATGACATTTGAAAATCTACTTATATTTGACATATCAATACTCCCAAGCGTTGATGCATCTACCTGTATTCTTCTGCCACGGTATAGAGGGTATATTAGGTTTGTCGTTCCGATGGTAACACCTCGAAACTACGAAAAAAGGACAGATATTCTTAATCAGCATAAAATTCTATGTCGATTTAGCGATGTCGTCCGTCTATCCGTCTGTGGAAATCACTCTAGCTTCCGAACAAAATGAAGTATATTGATAAAATTTTACTCAAATGTATATAATGTCTGCAGGACTTTTGGTTTTGGTATATATAGAATTGTCCATATTCGACGGACCCATCTGGCAACGCTATAACTTTTGACAGAGATGTCACATCGCTTAATGACATACCGCGTTTGAAGCGTCCGTCCAAGCAGATTTTTACCATGAACCAATACACGCAACGCGAAATAGTTGAAATTTACATTCAACAGAAGAAGTCAATTGTGAAAACTCTACGTGCTTTTAAAACATTAAAAAACGTGAGAAGTGCGCCTTCTAAGAACACCATTAAGCGTTTATACGAAAAATTTTCGACTGGTAAGGCTCTTTCTAATCCGAAGAGGCCATATAAAAGTCGACCAAGGCGATCGGCCAAGAATATCACTGCCGTACGAGCCAGTGTTGAGAGGTCCCCAAGAACATCCCAAAAACGCCGTTCTCAGCAGTTGGGCATGGCTCGGTCCACTTTACAACGGATTATTCGCATTGATTTGCATTTGTTCCCGTACAAAATTCAATTGACGCAAAGAATGTTGCCTGCGGACAAGCCTCGTCGATTGGAATGGGCCCAAAGAGTCATGGGTACGTCGAATATGGGCAACCCTGTATATATAGTTTGATGATTTTAGCGACATTATTCACCGGAATTGTTTCAAATTTAGTATTTGATGTTCGTAATGGATACTACAGCGTATGATAAAAAATAGTCTGTGCAGGTCCACGTCATCGTATAGCCCCCATATAATGGTACCTCCCGATATTTGGTATTTTGATGATTTTACCGATATTATTCACCGGAATTGCTTTAAATTTGGTATTTGAAGTTGGTAATGGATACACAGCCTTTGACAGAAAATTGTATGTGCAGATCCACGTTTTGGTGTAGCCCCATATAATAATATCTCCCTATATTCGATATTTTGATGATGCAGGTCCATGTCGTCGTATAGACCCTAATATAACGGCTACATTTGGTATTTTTAAGATTTTAACAGAAATTGTAGCGGATTTTATTTTTTTGAAAATTACCAAATTCGTTCCAAGTGGTGGAGGGTATTCAAAGTTCGGCCCGGCCGAACTTATAGATTTTTTACTTGTTATTTTTCAAACTTGTAATATTTGTGTTGCTTCCTTTCTTTTAATTCTTTTAATGGCGGATAAATTGTTTGTTTGAACAAATCAGCTGATTAGTTACAAGCTTCTGCAGTATTACCGTCTGTTTGCTTTTCGCATTCTCCTTGCAAAAGAGAATAAAACTACCTTACTCTCTGAGAAAGATGTTGCTGGACAATTCCTGCAGGAAAAGTAACCAGACACATCTATTGTTTTTGAAAATATTTTCAGAAGTCGAACACCCTAAGAGAAAAAAATTGTAATCAGCTGGTATCTCTACCTCACCTTTTCTTTGTACCCATGGCTCAATAAGAAAAATAGACTTTTTAAACATGCAACAATTGGTTTTGTTTATTAACCATTTTTCACAAAAATATTATGTTGCGGAAAACTACAAAACTTGAATGGAATATTGGGGTTTCTCAACAAAATTGAATCCAAGATAGTAGAACAAGATTGTTTTATACTAAAATTATACATTTTGATACCCGTTTACGTTGAAAATATGCATTTCTGTTGTCTCTAAATTTCAAATAAAAATAAATTATTTTCTTTTTTCAAAACAATACACACACATATACAAACTGTGTATATGTTTTGACAGAATAGGGGCACCAACAGAAAAAAATTGTATTTGGGGGGTAACATTGTTCTACCGTCTGCAATTATGCCATGATAGTACCATGCTTATAACATATTTCGATATTCCTATTATATTTTGAGGGATATTAATTCATTTTTACATCATTTTTTATCTTGCATTTATTTTAATGTGATATAATCGGTACATCGGATCTCATGACCATGATTTTAAATAGCTTGCATTGTCTGTAATATTCATATCAAGCTTGATTGCTCTATTTCGTGGTGATAATTCAGAAAAGGGCTCTATCTCTTAATTTGAACAGGAGGATTTTTGACAAAAAATCTATTAAACTTGTGCAACTTCAAAGTAAAATTTGGATGTTTCACAAGAAAAGAACCAGAAAAATTACTATTTGGATGGAACTATTTCCAAATAATTATACTGGGAACTTAACGCCGTTTAATATAAAGTTATTAATTACTTTTTTCTCGGATCACCAGAAGATTGTATTCCACATGTCTGTAGAGGGCGCATTGAGACAAATTTACAGAGTCTGTTATATCGAGACTGAAGTGTAAATGAGAGGTAAAATGCCCTTATCTTGTCCGTCCACCTCCTTGGCAGACAATTTCATCCAGTTTGGTCATCCAAACATTAAGCCAACTTAATGAAAGTAGGTTGACGAGAACAACAGTGAGATCAAGAAGGCCAAGCGCGGTATGGAGGGGTATATTAAGTTCGTAATTCCGTTCGTAATTAGGAAGCTAAACTTTTCTGCAGGCGGATCAGGTTCGAAGATGGGCTTTATCGGTCCACTATATCGCATAGCTAGCTACATTTTTAATGGAATTGTCTAAAAATCAATACTAGAAGTTCTATCTAAGTTCTTTCTTGTTCCTCGTAGAGTGGATTGATGATATGATCAGTAGCAGAATGAGCAACTGACACAAGGGTAAAAGATCCATCTAGAGATCGATTACCACAAATCGGTGTTCTGTCTCCTTTAGTATGGCTTTAGGTACTCAAGGATCTGCAACAAATTTCAACCAGCGGGCGGCTTAATAGCATTTCGTTTGGTGCCACTTGTTAGAAAAATCATCTCACAAGAGAAGCATTGATAAAGTTTAAAGAAGTGTATCTCTAATGATCACAGGTGTATTTTGGAGCTGGACTAGATAACCTACTTAACTCTAAGAATATTTTAAGAGGAACATGCAGTCAGATGCGCCCTGAAACTCAGAAAACTTGAACAATGGCGAAGCCAGTTCTTTGGACATTCTGCTATTTAGGGCTTGTGCAACACATAAAAGACCGGACAAGCCCAGCGATTATATATCACAACGGCTGAACTTCAAGCCACTAGACATCCACATACTTGATAGGGACATCTGGATCCGCAACAATTCATCTATACACGGTATGGCTATCTATACCGATGGTTCAAAGATGGAAAATGAAACGGGAGCAGGGATCTTTTTCTGAAACATAGAAAAATTGACAATACATATTTCCAAGTCAATTGAAGATTTCAACAAAACTGGCTAAGTGAATGGGAATGTAGTTTCTGTTAGAACAGTTCTGACACTCTCTGAGTGCCACTGTCCAACACTGTTCGGACTGATACATTGCCTTATGGTGGAGCAAATTATACACGGCTGTCTTCATTTCCCGACACAAAAACCAGCAGCCATTCTTCAGTTAATTAGAAGACTAAAGTTAAATTCAAAGATTACAAAATTAATTTTCCTTTCTATTTCCCCTCTTTCGTTCGCTTTTTTCTTCCTAATTTTAGGATAGTAATTGCCTCGAGATAACTACGCACCCTTTAACCACGCCTAATCTATATATTATTTCATATAAAACAAAACTGTTTAATTAAAAAAGTGATTCCAGAAATATATTGCTTCAAATTGTAAGCAGCAACCCAACAAAAGGTTGTCTGGGAATTTCACCACAGCAACTGAAGTTGGCCGTTTTGACTGCCGGTTGCCACTGTAATGCGATTGGGTGAGTCAAAGACACTCAAACCGCCTAATTTTGCCCAAACAAAAAAACTACATTTCGTTTTTATTTTTCATTTATTCAGTTTTATTTGCATGTAGTTGTTTATTGTTTCTTTCGTGAATGTTATATAATGAGGGTTAACTTAAAAATATAAAAAAGTCTTAAATAATTTACAGAAATATATTTGTAATATATATAAAAATATGGTGTGTGTGTGTGTGGGATACAGAGTTGTTTGGATGGGGTTGTTATTGAATTAGGGGTTTCATAGACGAAATTATATTATATAGAAAATAAATGTAATGTATAACTTTTCAGTTTTTTCTGCTTTAATTTGTTACTTAATGCTGTAAGATGGTTCGTTTTTAATAGATTTTTATTATTTGATTAAATAAGTTAAAAATATAAAAATATTTTACATTGAAATACTTCATTTATTTATTCACTCTTACTGTTTACTTAATAAACTAATTATTAAGACGCCATTTAGTAAAAACAATAATAAAACTTTCAATTGCACAAAATTTTGATTGTAAAAAAGAACAAAAACTAAAAAATAAGATGACAATGGGATGGGAAGTTTCCTTGGCTTTGTGTTCAAAAATGCTAATGTTTTTCTTTTGAAGTTGTTTGCTTATTACTTAAATGCTAAATATAAACTTTTTTATTAATATTATTTTTTATTATATTTATTTTGCTCATAAATCAACGACATCCTCTTTGGTATATTGAGTATCCCTAAAAGTTTGCCGTATAGAGGAGGATCGTTGTGGTCCTTCAACTAATGTCTCCTAAAATAGATTTTAATGTAAAAAACACATTTTAGACATATTAAATTACTATAAAAAAATTAAAAACAAATGTATATTACCAACATTTAATATGACATAGTGATGAACATGCAATTTCTTTGCTGTGATAATTTGTTAATTGTAAAAAAGTAAATAAAAATACGACAAGAGAACATACACACAAACATAAGGTGAATCACAAAATAAAACAGTCAACAGTAGTTAAATATTTATATAGTATACAATGAACGTTTAACAAAATCATAAGGAAGACAAAAACTTTAAATTATATTTTCGTATATTTAGGTTTACAACAATAATGTAAATAAAAATAGCAAATGTTTTGTAATTAAGGGATGAATGATATAGAAATATTATTAACAAATCGTTACGTTACAAGAAGAAGAACACAATAAAATTAAGATATGTTATATTGGGCGAAGAAGGGCATCAATTAGCGGGCAAGAGAAATTTCTTCTTTTAAGCATAAAAAAGGACAACCCAAGAACCCACATTTATATTTTTATCACTGTGGTTTAGGTAGAATGTTTTTGTTTGTTTTTCGTTTAGTTTTCACTGAGACAAGACAATTTTGGTATTCGTGTTGGATTTTTGAATGAATAATTAACAATTTATGTAAACCAAGACCATTCATTAGTTAATGGAACAAGTGTAGGAAATACATAATTACGATATATAAACCAATTCTTAAATGCATATCGCGACATTACCTACTTTAAAACAAAAAATCACACGCACACAAATATAACAGCACATAATGGTCAGGACATCACAGGAGGAGATAAGTGTGTATGAGTATAAAGCAATTGCAATGAATTCTTGTGTAGCATTAAAAAAGCATGTTATTAATGCACACATACAGGCAAACATAAACATTGTTTGTCCAAAATTTTCAATGAGTTCAGCATGAAAGATTTGAAAGGTTTGATGGAAATGAGGCATCGAAAAGTATCAAACCTCAAAAAGTGACGACATTTCTTTGCCGGCAATGCGTTTAAATCCAATGCTTGTTTCATTACTTTCTTCTTGTGACGTTGATGTTGCGGTACGACTGTTGCGTATATTTAGTATTTCATTTGTTCCATTCTCACTGATTAGACTTTTGCTTAACATCTCCTTGATTTCATTATTAAACGATGTTGTGTTAACAATTTTCGTTGTAACTTCATTCGTGGAAGTTGATGACATCGAAGATGTTATGATCGACGACGAAACTCCTGTTGCGGAGTTGGTGCTAGTTATCGAGGACGATGAATTTCGATTGATTTTATTTATGGCCGATGATGAGGATGACGTTAGTAACGAACGTGGTAATACTTGTGGTTTAAGGGGTAGATCTATGCAAATGTGCAATAAGTTACAATACAAAATCGTTGTTTCATCACACGCAGTTGGTTCGAGGGGGGTTGGGTTGGGATTTCAAACATAAAAAGGGAAGAAAAATAAATTTTATTGAAGTAAAAAAATTAAATAAAATTAAAAATTAGAAGAAAAATATATTTTAAACAAAACATTGTTGCCAATAGTAATTCTAGTTTATTATTCGCTGGTTTGTAATACACAAACAACCATAAGTTAGGCCCTAACACCTCACGTAAGATTTAAAGTAATTATTACTTTCGGTACCTTACTGCATCTGCGAACATATTTTTTTCTACCAAACAGAACCATTGTATAATATCCCTTAAGGAGAATCTTCATCTACGGAAAATAAAGTAATTATATATTGTTGAGAACAAATATATAGAAAAAGTAAGACACATTTTACTTATAGTTTTAAGGGTAATTTCATTCTGAGTTACTGCCCCTCTCTCTTCAATATTCAGACAGGATAAGATAATCACAATTTATCAACCTGAAATAGTCTGAACCATGGAAAAAAATATGAGAAGATGCAATGAAGGTCAAAGGACAAGATATTGTTAAAATAGAAGCATACTTTTCATCGGTTTAAGTATAATTTCTTTTGGAGCCATTGTCCCTTCATAATCTGAATCGACCTGAACCGAAAGGGGATTAGACCAACAAAATACTTGCAGATACCACACGAATTCTAATTTAAGTTCGAACGGAAAAGACAAAACAAAACGTAAAGAAGGCCAAAGAGCAAAATATTATAAAATTAGAATCTAATAATGTGTGATAAAAATGCAACAAAATCAAGATATGCTCTTTCAAAATTGAACTTTCTAACAAGTGACGAACGAAGTATTCAACCGCAGAACTGCAAATGAAGGCAGGTTATGTTATAGATATACAAGACTTTTGTCAAATTGATCAGCATCAAATCGGCCCAATTTGCTAAATTTGGAATAAATGTCGTTATAGGAGTCCAATAGGTCAGCGAGTTCTAAGGATCTTAAATACGCATCGACTATAAGAAATAATACCCGTATGCTATTCCGGTGGAAGGCATCAAAACAAATTTGGCCAGACATTTCCGTGCATAGTATAGCAGTATATTTAGTAAGAATGAAATCAACGTTACGGAAAACGTATTCCGTAAATAAAGTGAATGAAACAATTGAACGCCTATTATGTCACTATCTTACTCTATCAAGGGAGATACTACGAGCTATATGTGAACATTCGAGCCAGGATCTCAGTGTGCATTTAGGCACATATCTAAAACTGGCCAAAAGGTCTACATTGGCTCTGTGGCCGGAATCAAAAAACGAAAATCAAATCAACATTATTTTTCTTCTTCTCTTCTTCTTTTACTCTCTACAAAACATACACCTCTCATTCTCCCTCAACTTACTTTCTATTCTTCCTCCTTTCTTTTCTTTTTACACAGGAGGATCACAATGAGTCCAAATGTCTCAAATTTAAATAGTAACAACACATCCTTATAATGAATAAATACCGCATTTAATTATAGAAAATTCAGTCGAATAAGTCACTTTTCATTACACCCATCTGGTTTAGATGCTTTGGTTTTTGTGTTCAAGAACATCCATTGGGGAAAAATGTTTCGAAAAACAACTTTGAGTAAATGATATTGAAATTCGCAGGCAATTTTCAAAAAACTCATATATGTGAGGCATTCATTTTTTTTGTTTAAATATACATGTATATGTAAGAAAACAATAATAATTTAATTATTATTTTCTATAATTATTATTGTATTTACAAAACAAAAAGAATTAACGTGTATTTATACTTGATAATGTTTAACTAAAATATATTTTGACGACATTACAGATATACATTAAAAAATAATACTCAATGAATTACTGAGGCAACATTTAAATTAGAAACAAGGAATTCAAAAGGAACTTGTTGGTAAGATATTAAAAGTGCATACATTATGTTCAAATTCTATTTTTAAAGAGTTTCTATATTCTTTAACATTTAAGATTAGAAATAAACTACAAGTTTCAAAAATTTTAAATTACCTAAACGATTTAGACCAGCAGCAAGTTCCCGTACAGATTTCTTTTCCAAGCCAGCAGCTAAAAATAATAAATAAAATGTTAAAATTATAAATGAAGTAGTTAATAAAAGAGAAAGGCCAATGTACATTATATTTCATTATATTTATATGCAGGGTGAGATAAAAACAAAGTCAAACGCCATAATTTTTATTTTTTTAAATTTTATTGAATGAAAGAAAGAAATGTCGGAAAAAGCATCAACTTTTAGAATAAGTTTAGATTTGTTCGAATTGGTCACCTTTGGCACGAATTATAGACTTCAAATGGCCAATGAAACCGTCACACGCTGCCCGAATGTTGCTCTGCGGTATTTTGGCCCATTCCCAGCGAAGCGCTTGCTTAAGGTGATTGACACTTTGGTATTTTTTTAGATTTTCAAAATACTCCAGACTCAATAGTCCAACGGATTGGTATCCGGAGGTTTTGGTGGCCACTGTGCGCTGAAAATGAAGCGAGGAACCTCATTTTGTAACCATTCTTGGGTGGCGTGTGCTGAGCCCTCTTGGAATGTCCAAGGTCTGCGGCTAAAATGTTTGCGTGCCCAAGGCTTTAATACACTCTCCAGAATATTTTCGCGATAATATTCGGCATTTATTCCGATTAATTCGAGCGGAGAGCGAGCATTGGCTATTATGGCAGCCCAAATCAACACCATGGCCGACGCTTGAGTTCCGGTGGCCAACCGAAGGTGCACATTTTCTGCTGACCTCTTTGGCAAGTAAACACGATCATTTTGTTTGTTTACAAACTGCTGGACAACGAATGTCTTCTCATTAGAGAAAACCAAATTCGGCAGTTCACCACTTTCGGCCAAGCGAAGCTACTGTTTAGCTCTTTTGAATCTATTTCCTTTCTGTTGCGGTGTAAGTTCTTGCACTTTTTGGAATTTCAATGGCTTTACCCCGAACTCATTTTTCAATATTTGCCGAATGGAATATTGCGATATGTTCATCTCACGACTCCTTGGAACTAACCACTTCCAAAGACCTTTTCAGGGCATGACTAAGAGGCATTGCTAAAACAAATAAATTTTGCCAAAGGTATTTCTGAGCTGTATTTGATATATTACCCTGAATTTCTTTGATATATATAAATGCATATTACGGCTATCTAAGACTAAAATATCCAATCGGATTAAAAATATACATGAGCTACATCTAAATCTAAACCGATTTCCACCAAATTTGGTCGTATGTGACAAATTCCTTCCTATTTGGACTAATCTTCTATATATATAAATGTAAGTTGTGTTAGTTACTACGCTTATAACTTAAGAACCGCTGGATTAATTTTAACGATTCACACAAATTCGGAGTTGTCTACTCTCCGAAAAGGATAATATCCAAAAAAATCGCGTAAAAATGTAATATATTAACATTTTCATTTTGACTTTTCAAATGTACAATAGTAATGTTTTATTTTGCATGATTTTTTTCCATTTTGACTTACTTTTTTCTAATGTACATTTGTAGTGTTTTTTTATATTTTATTTTTGAATTCGAATATTTATACCAATTTATTTAATTGACTTGATTTCTTGAGAACTGAAATTGATGGCGGGTTACATGGAAGTGTAGTAGCGAATTATGTGGTGGCGAAACGGAATAGATGATATCGAAATAATTTAACGCGGTCACACCAAAGTTAAAAGATAATTACTTTTTCTAAATCGCTGAAAAATCATGAAAAAGAGATCTCATTGCAAAAATCAAAAAAAAAACATTTTCAATGGAATCGAATTTTAAAGTAATAGTACATTCTATTGTCAAACTTTGTAAGGAAGGATCTTAAAACATTTGCTGTAAAAAATCAGCGAAAAAGTTGAAGACTTTTTCAATTTGTTATTCTTTTTAAAAGAAAGTTGTGTTAGTTACTACGCTTATAACTTAAGAACCGCTGAACTGATTTAAATGATTCATACAAATTCGAAATTGTCTCCTATCCGAAAAGGATAATACCCAAAAAAATCGCGTACAAATGTGATATATCAAAATTTTCATTTTGACTTTTGAAATGTACAATAGTAATGTTTTATTTTGCATGATTTTTTCCATTTTGACTTACTTTTTTTCTAATGTACATTTGTAGTGTTTTTTATATTTTATAGCTGAACCCGGTGCGCTTCGCTACCCCTTTTGATTTTATATGCATTCAAAATTTTATTTACGAATATATGTTGGTTAAAAAAAAAGTTAAAAATTAAAAAATAATTTTGCACTACTTTAATGCGTAAATAACCAAAACCATTAGAAAAGCAGTAACATGACATACATACACGAAGGGTTTGTCTTTCGGATTTATTTATTTCATAGCAAATACCAAGCGTGCAGTAAACTGCAATCTTTTGAAGTTGAGTGGCATTTCTATTGCAATTAGTGAATTCGAGATAGCAACATACTTCGCCGTAATAAGCGTATTTCAAATCAATTGTTGTGTTGTTTTTAGTGTTAGCCAAAGGCGCTGTGGGTCAATGGTTCTTATTAAAATCAAATCCCAATCTGATCCGATTTAAATATAATTTAAAAAAAAAATACTTCTACACCAAACTCCGCCACACCTTTCATATTTCATTGAAATTGGTGCGTCAGATATGTGAAATCGGCCGATAATATATATATGGGAGCTATATCCAAATCTTAACTAATTTCCAATTAATTTGTCACATTTATTATTGTAACCAAATTCCGCCACACATTCTGAATTTCATTGGTATCGGTCATATATATCATGTTTGGTACATAACATATATGAAATCGGCCGAAATATATATGTTAGCTATATCCAAACCTCAACTGATTTCAATATAATTTGGCAATTTTTTCAAATTACTGCTCATTTGACTGGAAAATTTTGCTACGATATTTACCATACTAAAAATTAATTTGATCCCTTACATGGGGATAAGATTGATATATACTTTTAAATGGATTTGTATAGCACATCCACACATTTGAAGCCCACGGTTTAAAAATTGAAGACCACGGCTTAAATATGGGTACAGGTATTTTAAAACACTTTTAATCGACCAGTACGGGAACACTTATATCAGTCATATCTGTGAATAATTATGCTTTGACAAATATGCATAATAGACAAAAACTACGGGCCGGCAACGCGGACCGGGCCAGCTAGTATTACATATTTGTTACACAATAAAAGGGAAATCGGACGAAACCATATCTAAATTTTGACCGATTATTTCCATTTTAAATAGGGTTCGTCCTTGGGCCAAACAAATGATTTGTGCAAAATTTTATCTCGAAGGGGCAATTGACACGACGTGTACTTTGTTTACAAAAATACATGGACTCAGAATGTGATTCTATGCAGATCATATAAAGGAACTATGAGTCTATCTTGCTTCCTTCCCAAAGACATAATACCCTGACCATAGTGTGGCGTAGGGCCTTTTCGTGTTAATTTGTACCAAATTTCACTTTGAACCCAATATATCATAAGGGATCAGTTATCTCGGTAATAGGCCTCAAATGTAAAGTCAAGTGAGACAAAGGTTATAGAAATTGCGACAAAAAATTGCTTTGTTCTTTTAGACAAGACGAGACGTGCATGAGAAAAAGAGAAGGTTCGGAGAAATTTTTCGATTATTAAAAGATATTGTTGTATTTGTCTTGTGCATTCGGGTCGTATGCGTGTGAATAAGCGACCTTTTTTATCACCTGGAATGTGGTTTCAGAAATATCGATTAACTGGTATCTGAATGATCGGTTCTTGTGTACTTTTATATATTTGTAATATCCCTTTTATACACTAAGCGATTGATGAATGCGAAGCTAAACAGCATTCTAACTGATATATTTTTTTCGCATTCACTGTCGTATCTTAGAACAGAAACTGGACCTAATCCTCTTTTAAAAATATCGCAACTCACCTGTTGCTTTGCCACCAATGTTATTGGCTGTGCCATTTCCAAATGGCACACTTTCCATTTCTGTAAATTAAACAAAAAGTGATTTTATATGGGCAAAAATCTAATTATATCTCTCAGACAGACAGCAATTACCTTCATCCAATTTATCAGGCGTCGTTTTACTTGAATCCGCACTAGTATGCATCACTGAATTTGTTCCTTGTGCTGTTTTGGGCTCACTTCCCACCACTGACCATGGTCGGGGTTTTTGCAAATTGATCGGTGTGCGTAGAATACCATTGCCGGTTTTAGCACCCGTAGTGGAATCCGTATGTGATTTAATGGAATCGGTACTGGGCGAACGCATTTTGTTCTCACGACCCGAACATGTTTTGAGCAAACGTTCAGCTTGTGTTGTGGGCTGTGCGGAATCTGGAACATTGTCATTTGCCCCACCAGCAGCACCTTCAGTGCGCATTTTGACAAGTGGTGATTTTCGTCCCACCAGAGGTGAATATTTTTCCAAATTATCTGTGGAACGTGAACGTGTGGTCCATGCAGCACCTTTCAGCAAGGGTGAATTCCGTTCCAGTTTTATGGGACGACGTTCCTCCAGAATAGGTGTGGTTTCTTCGGAGGTCATGTGATCGTTGCCATTGCGACTCATTGTGGGACTATCAACGAATGATAGGGAGCTGCATTCCTCCGAGGTGGGCGATACTAGGGGTGTAAGTGTGGTGGGTGTTACCGAACCAGGTCGAAAGAATTGATCAAGGCCCTCACCAATTTCCCTGGTACTATTGCCGTTTTCAATGGCTGCAACCAGGGGCCGGGTGGGCGCACGTGTCTTGGCTCTTTTCGGACGACCTTTGACTAGATGTTGCAATTGAAAAGAGGCACTTGGCAATTCGGTTATGGAGTCACAACATTCATCGCCACCTCCATCATCGAGGGCACCACGACTATCACTGGTCAGGGTGGCATCACCATTAATTGAGGAGTCACGTCGCGATATTTGTGATGTTGAACGATGTGATGACGGCGACTCCAATAGATCGGGTATATGGCCAAGGCTTAGATTTTCCACAACCGATTGTGGACGTACCTTACGGGCTGCAACTGAACGTCTTTTGGTGGGCATGTGTGGTGTAGCCTTTAGCAGTAATGGAAGAAAGAGAGAAGAAAAATATTGTATTTGAGCAAAAGAGATCAACAAAGTCCAATCCATGTCTATTATGTTAGAGATTTTTCAAGTTTATGATTAACCATGCATATGGCATTACGAATGATAATATAGAGAGGACAATGAGGGAGAGAAATGATTGGAATTGGCAAGAAAGGAGAAAAATGCAATGCTCATTTGCTAAAAATATGTAAACTTAAAAATTAGATCTTTATCTACGGAAAATAAAAGCTCACTACAGATTATTTGAAGAATTACTAAAATGCAGACGACAACAATCATGTAAACGTTAACAAAACAAATGAAATAACTTATGCTTTAAGTACAACAGTTGGGGAGTGGGAATTAATAAAATACACATTTTATTAGAGCCAATGATGCATTTTCCAGTTTGTATTTTTCATAAAGGTGGCTGGACTATATTAAAATTTCAATGGTATTGTATTTTTTATTAAAAAAAACAAGTATCAGTAACAAGTATCAGTCGGTTTTGCCGACAGAAGTATACCCCTAGCCCTGAGTTACGATTATTCAAACTGTTGACCCTTTATAGGGGAGGTTCCGAAGCTATTGACCAATATTGACCAATTCGTATCTGACCTAAGACGGATATAAATATTACAACGTGCCAGATTTGGAATATATCGACTACTTCTCATATTTTATATGAGATATGTGCACATTTTTGGAAAATGTGAAAATATGCTTGAGGAAACTGATATAGTGGTAGCTAATAAAGAGTCATAGTTCATCTAATGCAGATAAAAATACCACACCTTGGGTTAATAAAATATTGCGATGTGTGTAATTTGAAGGGATCGTTTTGGTTATTAAAAAACCTTGACCCTTTGTGTGGGAGGTACCAGAAGGAATAGTCCGATTTCTACCATCTTTATAACAGATCTTGTGTTTATGGAAATATTGAGATGTACCAAGTCTAAATTGGAATCGGATGTTAATTTCGTATTTTATGAGCTTCATGAATATTCAAAATGTTGAAACTTTGTGGGGGAGGTACCAGAAGGAGTGGACCGATACATTACATCTTCACACCGGACCTTGGGTTAATAAAAATGTTGTGATGTGAAGATAATCGGACACTTCCATCACATTTTATAAAAGTTATAATTATTCAAAATGTTGACCCTTTGTGGGGGAGGAACTTGATGGAGTGAGCACTGATGCAAATATTGGGATTTGCAAAGTTGGGGCAAAAACGGGTAATAATATCTCTTTCTGTGCAGAAATCTTTTTTTTTTTTGAAATTTTTGAGGAGGTTCGGTCGATATTGCCCATCTCCGTACTCGATCTAAGTATGACAAGAATATTACGATGTACCAAGTTTGAATCCAATCGGATACAGACGTACATACCTTGTCGTACGGACATCGCTAGATCGACTCCAAATGTCCTGAAAAGGATTTGGACCAAAGAGACCTAGGGTCTAAAACCGTTATTTTGATGAGGCACGTCTTGGCCGTCAAATGATATATACCCTCCCCATCTAGCCATATGGGTAGGCTGAGAGTATAAAAATATACTGACTTTTTTTGAAGATTTTTTTTCAAGATGTGTGACACAATTGATTAACTCAAGTCGTAAAAGAGGACCCATGAAAATATATTGCGGTGAATTAGGTGGATCCTTGAGTTTTTTTTACCATTATTACATGAACAGAGATAAATTGGTTTCGCAATTCGGAGTCCAATATTAAACTAAAAAAAATTGACGATAGATATTAGGAGGTGCGAAGAAACAAACCACGAGCAATCATATCAGTAGGTCATTAGTCATATGGAGTCCTCTATATTCTGTGTAGATGACGAAAGCGATACAACTTTTTAAAAAGGAAAAATTAAAAAGGTACTCTTTGCAAAAACTGGCAATTTAGGGTCCGTAGTCCCTCGAAATGAAGCTCCAGATTAACGCGTCTTATTCAAGAGTGAGTTTAAAATGTCGTTTACTCGGTGATGCTAGAATAATTTTGATGTTTACCATAGTATGGAGGGTATATTAAGTTTGTCATTCCGTATGTAACACCTCGAAATATACATTTTAGACCCCACAAAGTATATATATTCTTGATCAGCATAAAATTCTATGTAGATTTAGAGGTGTCCGTCTGTGTAAATCACTATAGTTTCCGAACGAATTGAAGTAGATTGATAAAATTTTACTCAAATGTATATTATGTCTGCAGGAAATAGGCCATGTAGGTCCACGTTTTGGTATAGCTCCCATATAACGGTACCTCCCGATATTCGTTATTTTTATGATTTTTGCGATATTATTTACCGGAATTGTTTCAAATTTGGTATTTGAAGTTCGTAATGGATACTACAGCCTATGACAGAAAATTTTCTGTGCTGCTCCACGTCTTCGTATAGCCCCCATGTAACGGTACATCCCCATATTCAGTATTTTAATGATTTTAGCTACATTTTTTTTTTCATTTTTAATATTTTTTTTTTAAGTTTCGCATTTGAATATTGTAATGGCTCATGACAAAAGTTACCTATGCAGGTCCATGTCGTCGTATAGTCCCTAATATAACAGCTATATTTGGTATTTTTAAGATTTTAACAGAATTTTTACGGTTTTTACTGTTTTTGAGAATTGCCAAATTCGTTCCAAATGGTGGTGGGTATTCAAAGTTCGGCCCGGCCGAACTTACAGCTTTTTTACTTGTTTATCCTTCAATGTGTAATGGAGGGTATATTGCATTCATATTGCAACTACTCGGAATAATCATTAAAGACCCCATAAAAATATATTCTTTATTAGCGTAACATTCAAATACGATTTGCATTGTCTGAAGGTCCTTCTGTCTGTCTATCGTTTGAATGGGTCGAACTAGACGACTATAATTGGGCACATTGTCATAGCATTTCTGCAAATTTTATGGTATATAGAAAACATCGGTTCACTTTTATGCAAAGACCACACCCATTTTACCACACCGTCCGATAACTGGTATTTTGAAGGTTTGACATTGGTCACTCAAAAAATATAAAAATCAATACAGGGTTTGGTGTAGTCCCACATAACGTTTTAGAATTATTGATTTTTAAACAAAACAACTATGATAAAATGCATCATTGCCCTTCTTCGTTTCAATTTAGGAATTAAATTATTTCAAAAATGTATTAATGAATGAAAAAATGCATTTTGGAATTATTTGTAATGATATGGAGATAATGTATTTTTTTTCTTCATCAAGACAATCTACTTACAAGGTTGAGATATTCCAATTTCTGTGGTATATTTTTTTAAGAGAACATGATTTGATTTGGATGTGATTTGTTTTGAAAAAGTTTGATATATTTTTTGGAAAATTGCATTAAACGGATGATTGATAATGAATGAATGGTTGGTTGATTTATTGATGGAATTTTCGTTGAGTTTTTTTTTTTTTCAAATATTTTATTGGTTGTTTTGTTTCGTTGTTGTGAAAAGAGAAGGGGGAAAGACATATAAGTAAATGGATGTTTAAATGGTAATGTTTAAGAATAAAATGAAATAATTGTTCGAACTTAAATTAAACAATGAAAACAACATAAAACATTGTAATAACAACACTCAGACAGATGACTAAAGTGCATTCTGATTTGATGAGTTTTCAGAATTTTGGTTTCATTTCTTGCATTAAACTTTTTGTTATTAACTTGAAACTCAATGTACAATTTCCAATTGTTGAATTGTGTATTTTCTAAGTGTAACTAAGTTTGTTTGTTTTTATGAGGAGACTTGCGTTTTGTGTAATGTTTTTCGGATTTAAATTTATTCACGACTAAATGATAAAATGTTTATTCTTTTTTTCTAAAATATTATGATATAAATAATATTAATAATATTGACTGATATGCCATGAAATGAAAGTGTTTGTGTATGGGTCTAGTATGTATATTTGTGTTTGTTTCGTGGTCATATTGTATTTTTTATTGCAACCACATTGGTGGTTGTGATTCAACACTTACAGTGGGTGATTCTAATCCTAATTTGGGTAAAATGGAATTGCGTCCAGTTCGCAGAATCATTCCATCAGAGTCCTGAAATTATACGAAGTAGAAGTTATGTTTTAATAAATGATATATGATATGAATGAGAGAGACTTTTAGAGACTTAATCACTATGAATATGTTGAAGTTATGTCTTTTTTAAGCAAGGAGTACATGATAAAAAAATATTTACAAAAATATTGGACAATCGGAATGAGACATGCTTCTTTTAACATTGTGATGGTTTTGCTGCCAGTATTGAATGGAGTTATACTGGATATTTCTTTGAGCGCCAAATACATTGGTACAATCCTAGACAAGAATTTATTACTTAGCAGGTCAGAGATTCTCAGACATAGATCGTCGTCTACAAGCTTGCTAAAAACATTCCCTGGCAAAGCAAATCTCTTTCTTATAATCAACAATTTTATTCCTCCTGGGATGAACACTGTGGATTGAAGGTCTCCGAGTGAACCTGTGCCAACTCCTATGTAGCTGCGCATTCTTGAACGAAACCATCGCATTGTAGATGTGTAGGTGCTACGCAGTAAATAGAATAATACGCTGCGAAAAGCAAAATGGAGACATCTAATTTCAACAGTAGGCTGCTATTGTGGTAAAAATACTTATAAAAGTCCCATCGGACACGCAAATAGATCTTCACGAAAAAGAAGAATGGGAGAGATCCAGAGAGATAATTGTGTTTTGCTCGATCAACAATCCTACCAGAAGGTGACAGGAAAAAGTGGAATAACATTATGCATTTGTTTGTAACATAGAGAAGGAAGTGAGTTAGACCCATAGTTCCATTCGATGATCTGCATAGAATAACCTTCTAATTCGATTTATGCATGTCGATCCGTCCGTCTGCCCATATGTTTTTGTAAACAAATTACAGGTCGCATTAATTGCCCGACAAAGATGAAACTTTGCACAAAACATTTGTTTGGTCCAAGGACGAACCCTATTGGATATAATCGGTCAAAATTTAGACATAGCTCATATATATATCTGCGCCCGATTTTATTATTTTGCATCAAATATTAAGCCAAATATGATGAATTTTGGCACATACAGGGCGTGACTAAAAAATTGCAACACACTTCAGACTGCTGCCACTTCTAAGCCACTCTTCCGACAGCTGTTAAAATTATTCTCACAAAAGCATTTTAGTTAGAATTTTCCATAAAAAAAGTTATTAGTGATGGAATTCAAGCTTGATAGTATGATTTTTTTATATTAGGCTGGAAAACCACAAGTGGCTATCGTTAGAGCACTCCAGCGTTTAAATGTGAATAAATCTTTTGTGTCTCGTATCATCGCTCGTTACCGTGATACTGGAAGCGTAGCCCGACGTCAAGGAAGTGGACGGAAGAAAACAGCAACATCAGCAGAAATGGTTCGAAAAGTAAAGAAGCGACTTGATCGAAACCCGCGTCGCAGTGCCCGAAAAATGGCTCGTGAGCTAAACATATCGCAATATTCCATTCGGCAAATATTAAAAAATGAGCTCGGGGTAAAGCCATTGCAATTCCAAAAAGTGCAAGAAACAGAAAGAAAATAGACTAAAAAAAGCCGAATGTGGTGAACTGCCGAGATTGATTTTCTCCGTTGAGGAAACATTCGTTGTCCAACAGTTTGTAAACAAACAAAATGATCGTGTTTACTTGCCAAAGAGGTCAGCTGAAAATGTGCATCTTCGTTTGGCCACCAGAACTCAAGCGCCGGCCATGGTGATGTGTGGGCCGCCATAACAGCCGATGGTCTCTCTCCGCTCGTATTAATTGACCGTGGCATTAGAATAAATTCCGAGTATTATCGCGAAAATATTCTGGAGTTTGTATTGAAGCCTTGGGCACGCAAACATTTTGGCCGCAGACCTTGAACATTCTAACAGGACTCAGCACCATCGCACTCACCACGCGCCACCCAAGAATGGTTACAAAATGAGGTTGCTCGCTTCATTTCCAGCGCCCAATGGCCACCAAAATCTCCGTTGAACTATTGTGTCTGGAGTATAAAAAATACCAAAGTGTCGATCACCTCAAGCAAGCTCTTCGCCGGGAATGGGTCAAAATACCGTAGAGCAGCATTCGGACAGCGCGTGACGGTTTCATTGGCCGTTTGAAAGCCATAATTCGTGCCAAAGGTGACCAATTCGAACGAATCTAAACCTATTCTATAATTTGATGGTATTTCCGAAATTTTTTGCTTTCATTCAAAAAAATTAAAAAAATGTCACAATTATGGCGTTTGACTTTGTTGCAGTTTTTTTTTATTTCTCCCTGTATTGTGTCAAATTTAAAAAGTAAAATCTAAAATCTTTTAAACTAATTTGTGACTTATACATATATAATTTGGGGTCTCGACAATTTCTAATTTAATCATTGTAAATGAAATTTCAGTAGTGGAATTTTCTAAATTGTTTTGCCACTATCGACAAAAATCGTTATATTTAAAACCCAAGGATTTCGTGTGAAAAGCGACTAAATGTACACGACATTTTTTCTGTCGGTAGGTCACTGTAAATGGGCTAATAATTCCCTGTTTATCAGTCTAACGGTTTGGTTTAGAGTTAAACTCTTGACAAGCTCCAAAGTTTTTTTTTTTAACAGATGACGCAGTTTGTTGGAGATAATAATAAATTTTTATTTTAATAATTTTTATATTTACTTTTTTGTGGCAATTTTATTCTATATGTATTTCATGAAGATAATTATATTAAAAGCTGCGAGAAATAAAATATACAGAATTTAATTGTTTACCAACGTTGTCGAGTAAAATGGAATTACGATATTTGTTTAAGAACATATGTATGGCCGGTTAAACGAATTATGACTAGGTGCGAAGGAATTTTCTTCCCGCTTCATGGGGTGGTAATTTTTAATCTTTGGTGAATGCAGCAAGTTGTTCTGTATATTTATTAACAAATTTCATATTTTTCTTTTAAATTAAGAGAAAATTCTTTTAAATATTAAATTTTAATTTTTAAGTTTATGTAGACAAGTAGGGTACTCTAAAACGCAGTAAATTGACCAGTACTGAAAGTTTATATTAAAAAAATTGCAGGTAGTGCATTCACCTCACCCAATTAACAGCAGCATTAATTTGAAGTTGTTCTATGTGAGGTAGTTATTTCAGTGTCGTTTTGAAACAGTGCTTGGAGGAGTATCCACTTTATATCATTGTACTTCTCTCTTATAAAAATAAGTAGTTTTTGTCTAAAGTTTTAAGAACGTGTTTCAACGAATAAACTATTTTTATATCCTCAGTCATATGGCTACATAGGGTATATATCATTTGATACGGCCAAAACGTGCCACATCAAATTCAAATCGGTTTCAGGACATTTGGAGTCGATCTAGCGATGTCCATCCGTCCGTCTGTCTGTCAGTCTGGCTGGTTGGTGCTCACGATAACTTTCGAAGGTAGTATCCGATTTTTTCCAAACTTGGTACATCGTAATATGATTATCAAACTTAGATTGAGTTCGGAGATGGGCATTATCGGTCCACTACTTCTGGTACCTCCCACACAAAAAGTCAACATTTTCAAGGAAAATAATTTGCGGTATAGAAAGAGAAATGATAATCCGATTTTGCTCCAACTTTGCGAATCCTAATATATGCATCAGTGCTATATATATATATATTTATATATATATATATATATATATATATATATATATATATATATATATGGAAATGTTGAGATGTCTGAACGGAATCGGATGTTAATTTAGCATTTTATGAGCTTCGTGGATATTCAAAATGTTGACTCTTTGTGGGGGAGGTACCACAAGGAGTTTGAATATCCACGAACCTCATAAAATGCTAAATTAACATCCGATTCCGTTCAGACATCTCAACATTTCCATCAACAAACGATCTGTTATAAGGATGGAACAGATCGGACCATTTCTTCTGGCAACTCCCCCACATAGTATTCAAGATTTTTGAAAAACAAACCACTCAAAGAAAGCGAAAAAAGCATCCAACTGTCTCTTCATATTTCATACATCCAAATATTGTTGTGAAGATGATATATATCTGCTAACCCCTTCTGATATATATCTGCTAACTACCCACATGGGGGCACAATTTCCAATACTTATATCTGTCATAACTTGCGAAACAAGTCGGCGTTTCTTCACAACTTGTTATATCTAAATATTTCATTTTATCAGAAATCTGATAAGAATATGTTGTTTATGATTTCGCATGACAATATTTTTGACTGTATTAGAAGAAGTATGAAAATATAATACTTCGGTCGGCTATATCTATTTCCTCACGCATATTTCCACATTTTCCAAAAATTTGCATATACCTCATATGAAGTATGGGAAGTAGTCTATATAGTTCAAATCTGGCACGATGCAATACTTACATCAGTCTTAGGTCAGATACGAATTTGTCAATATTGGCCAACTGCCACGGAAGGGTCAACAGTTTGAATAATCGTAACTCAAGGCTGGTGGTATACATCTGTCGGCAAAAGCGACTAATACTATTTTACTTGTTTACTCAGAGTTTGTTCTGTTTAACTGACTAGGATATAAACTTTGAGAAACAAATAAAAGAATGTGAACAACAGAATTCTTCATTTGAATTTATATTTCTGTGTTTTTGGGGGTTTTAGCCCCAAACAACGTCGTTAAATCGTCAAAAGTTAAAAGTCAAAAGTGAAAATGTTAAAATCTGAAAGTCAAATTTAATACACCCTCCTTTCTATAGCAAAGTGTATCAATAACCTTTGCGATGCGACGAATGTATGTTTGTGCGTGTGTGTTTGAATGAAAAATAAAATATTTAGACTTACATGACTGGAGCGACTACGCACAATGTCGGGTGTTTGCGGTTCATCCAGCATAACAGAGGGTGAGTCGGCAATACCCAAACCGCGGCGATAACGTGTTAGAGCTTCCAAGACTTCATCTGTAGCACGATCGGATATTGAGGCAGCCAATGACTGTTCAATTTCACTGGAATTAAAACGGGGAACAAAGAAAGAGTGAGCGATTAAAAGTTAATCAGTCAATAATTATTTTTACAAATCACATACATACATACATGATGTAGATGTAAGTATATATGTTATAGTGTAACAGAAATACTCGATATTTTTCTATAAAACAAGGTAATTATAAATACTACAGCTTAAAACAATTAAGTATACGGACATTATTCAAATGATATGTCGATCATTGCACTGTGTAACTAAAGGCAATTTGAAATTGAATACGTAAGAAATCCGATTATTCTTGTCTTTCAAATATAAATTTGAGGATTCTTAAAGAAATTTATTTGTAAAGAATTCAGCTGCTATACAAATTTATACCAAACGCATGGCTATGGTAGTACCGCAAAGTAAAAAATAAACGTTTTATCGAGAACTAAATACGAATGACGGATTAGAAGCGGCTTAAATTAGAAATCGGAAGGAACTAATACGGAAGTTATACCTTAATCTGAACCGATTACCACTAATATAAATGGGGGAAAGGATGGACCCTTGGGAAAAAGCAAATGAACAGTGCGATATTTTGTCATGCGGAAATGCACAAATCGAGGTACAAATGTGTCTAAAAAAATGTTCGGACCTGTTCAACAAGTTGTGCCGCTAAAATTAGGATTTTGAGTCGTAATGCAAACAACGCTTTTTTTATTATACCCTACAACACTATGTGTTGGGGGTATTATAAGTTTGATTGGGCCAAAAATTATGTAACACCACGAAATATTGATTTCCCACATAGGAAAGTATATATGGATCTTCCTATCTCGGCGAGCTGAGTCGATCTAGCTATGTATGTCCGTCTGTCCATCTGTCCGTCTGTCCATGTTAATTTGTAATCACTCTACAGGTCGCAATTATGGTCCGATCTTCACGAAATTTAAAATGGAGGTGGGGCTAGGGTCAGAATAGAACCCTATTTCTTTTGGTGATGATCGCATAATATTTAGGGGTTGAAATGGACCAAAAACTGAAAACATTCCTGATTTTGCACTTGCTCTACAGGTCGCAATTATAGACCAATCGACGCGGAATTTCGCATGTAGCTAGAGTTTAGGGCTGGCAAGAAGCCTACCCATTTGGGTGGTCATCGGATAATATTTAGCGGGTAAAATAGACCATATCTTTTTTGTTGAAAAAATTCAAAATTTTTCATTAAACCGCGAATATTTTAAATCCCAGCGAAATCACAAAGCCATGACAAGGTTACTTCTGATCTTTACATTGATGTTAACATCCAACAAAACGGATATATAGCAAAATATGTGCGATATATATGTTTATCAAAGAAGATATGCTTGAAAAATCTCTTATATGTCGAGAACGGCTGAACTGATTTCTCATTAATTCAGAATGGCCTCTTGGCAGGAAACATAAAACGTCTAAAAAAATCGCATAAAAATATCTCTCTAAAGATGAAAATATTGATTTTGTAATATTTTCTCATATTTTTTTCCATTTTGTCATATTTTTGGCATATTTTCATTTTGAATTAAACATTTGGTAATATTTCTACAGCTAACAAAACTAAGTAGTTAGGATATCAGGATATCATATACAGATCGCATTTATGGCCCGATCCTTACGAAATTTTGCATGGAGATAAGATGAGGGTCAGAATAAAAGCCTATTCTTTTTGGAGATGATCGCCATATATTTAGGGGTTGAAATGGACCAAAAAACTGCAAAATTGTCAACAGGTCGTAATTATGGGGGTTACCGGACATTGCAAAAGCCAAGCAGTTTTGGATGGTCATCCAAAAATATTCAATGTGTGAAGGAGTTTGCCAACTTTTATAGACAAAATACGAAAATGTCCATTCCAGTGACTTTTTGGAGAATTCACAAATACAGGAATGACACACTTCTGACTATTTCGTTAACGCTGATTTCGTTGAAGAATATAGTCAAATGGCTGTATCTCATATAGATGCGTTTCAGTCAAAAAGCAATAATAAATGTTAATCTTTTGCCACTTCTTAGAGATTATAGGTCTTTGGGAAATATTGGTTCCAGATCTAGGAAGACCATTTACGTGCAACATCTACCAATAAATTGGAAATGAGCAAATTAGTTTAAGTTGCTATTATCCGAAAATTAGAGAACGAAACCTGATGATTTTCTTTTATTATTTGTCACAATATCTTGTGGAATTCTTTCGAGTATCTCGCCTATATAAACTGTATCGTTTATTATAGTGTTGTAGGGTATTCAACGGTCGGCCCCGCTCGACTGTAGCCTTTGCTTACTTTTTTTTTATTAGTTTCTTATAACGTACTATTAAATTAATATAATTAAATATGTTTTTGCTATGAATATATTAAAAATTGTTGCGAGGCTACATTAGCAGCTGTTTCGTAGTGAATTTTTACAAGCAGTTTGTGTTCGTATTTACAACCATAGCACAATTACAGGAGGTCGAGTAAAGCTACCTCTTAAATACACTTTTCTCTTTTGGTGCACCTACTATGTCAAAATGAAAAACAAAGAAAACAATATAAAATTCTTTCAAATTCATTATCAAAATAATTATATTTTCGCCGGAAATGGCCAATAGTTTTCTACCATGGGTTCAAATTTTTGGAATAACCTCTCCATTCAAGAAAAGTTATGCGAGTTTTCCGTAATTAAAAAAATTGTGAAAAATTATAATATAAACAAAATCAATTGTTGCATGACTTCAAAGTCTATTTGACACTGTAAGACTCTAGTAGAGTGGTATATTTCCTAGTTTCTTGGAAGTTGAACAACATTTCTGGTTAACATTGGACCGATTCGAACTAAAACTACGGTTCGAGCCGTTCGAAAAACCATTTCAAAAACCGAACCATGGTTCAAAGCTAGTGTGAAGCATTAAACCGAGCCAACCACAAAAAAAAAAAAAAAAAAACAAGTAAAAACATTAAGTTGGGAGGGCAAACTTAAAAAAACATTTTTTAAAGTAACTGAATTCAAACGTGCTCCGGTAAAAAGTACAAACACCAGTAAGAACATTTGGATAATGCTGTTAGATTTTTCAAAAAACCATAAAGTGGGCAAGGTCGTTATATGGGGCCATACAAAAACGCGAACCTCTATAGACCATTTTATACTTCAAGGATTGTCATATATTGCGAGTCTTAAATACCAAATTTGAACCAATTTAGTGGACAAATATGACTAGTATTATCAAAATACCGAACATCGGTGTGTAACTTTATATGAGCGCTATTGGAACTAAATATTTAGTGTTCTGCCACCGGAGCCACCATTATGAACTACAAATACCAATTTTTATACAAATCCCTAAAAAAATGCAACAAAAATAATCAAAATACCGAATATCGGGAGGTACCGTTATATGGGGGATATACCAAAACATGGACCTATACATACAATGTTTCGCCACACGAGCTAGAACCTATTATGACCCACAAATACCAATTTTTAGACAAATACGTGGGAAAATGTGGCAAAAATCATCAAAATACCGAATATCGGGAGTTACCGTAATATGGGGGCTTTACAAAATCGTGGACCTGCGCATAAAATGTTTCGCCGCCGGAGGTAGAACCCACTATGACCAAAAATACCAATTTTTAAATAAATCCGTTGAAAATGTGGCAAAAATCATCAAAATACCGAATGTCGGGAGGTACCGTTATATGGAAACTATACCAAAACGAAACTATACACAATATTAATTATTCTGCCAAATTTTAAGTCAAATAATATGGGCTGTATCGTGATTTCAACAGACGGACATTGTTAAATCGACTTAGAATTTTATGCTGATTATGAATATATATACGGTTATACGATATACCTACCATTCCAAGGTGGAGGGTATAAAAAATGGTTTGCAGCCCTGGATTCTATGAACTATAAAAACTATAGGTCCATTTCATTTCCTGTCACATGTTACAAACATATATACAAAAATATTTTTGGTTTTTCTTAAAAAATATATGCTTATAGCTCCAAAAAAGGTATATTTAAATGGGCTGATGACCCTTCTAAAAATATGGTTATGGCTCAGATAGCTCTTATAAAAATATATCAAAAATATTCAACAGAATCTACGTCTACAATTGTCATAAATCTTCCTCGCAATTTTTTTATAGAACGTTCCTATGCCTCACTTTCCAAACCCTTCCGATTGAGGGGCAACCTGCCGGTCTTCGCAAAAATTTGATACGCTCATATGCCATTTTCACCATTACCAGTAATGACAACACTCTACATTAGCAGTTTCCCAAATGACGACTGCATTCCCCCTGCATTACCCCAAGCAAAAAAAAATTGTTCAAATGAAATATCAAAACCACAAAAAAGTTGGATATCATTTCAGTTTAGAGCTCACTATTCCCTGTTACGTTATGATTCTCAGCATCCGTGCAGAAGTACGGTCCAATGATGCAACCAGCCCATGAACGGCACCAATCTGTGACTTTTTCTGGATACATTGCAGAGACTGGCTTCGAATCACCACAACTCCATACTGTATCGGATAAATTCATAAACAAATTATAAATTTTACCGATTGCATTCTACCTCAAAAAATTGCAGAGACGGTTTGTATGAGTGGCTTTTTTTTGAAGCGTTTGCAATGCTTCTAGCTGACCTTCTCACCAAAAACGACAATTCTGCTTATTTACGTACCCATTGAGCTATAAATGAGCTTCGTCACTGAAAACATGGCACGCGCGATGAGCAGAAGGAGTGGACCGATATATCTCATCTTCACAGCAGACTTCGGGTTTGTTAAAAGTAATGGGATGTGTGAAATATGAATAGAACCGGGTGCTTATTTCGGATTTTATAATTGTTTTGGTTATTCAAAACTTTGACGCTTTGTGGAGGAGGTAACAAAAAGAATGGTCCGATCTCGATCTAAATATTTTGTAGGGTAAAACTATTCAAAATTATTCTTAAAATCCAACTGGATACCTCTAATAGCGCTTCCAAAAGTAATTTACAATCAACGTA